GTTTTAATTTGTGGGACAAGTAGATATAAACACAGAGAAAACTATCAGCATCGGATGCCAAGGTTTCAAAGGCATTTAAAAATAGCCTGTATCTTTATCCATTGTCCACTTCAGCCCCGACAGCCGAGGTCTCTCCGTGGACCACCATCGCTGGGAACAGCTCCAGCCACAAGCTTTCCAACTCTGAAAACTTTCTTGGTTAACCTCTTATTTTCTCCCCTGCAAGTCAGGCCGGTCAAACGTGCTCTTGGCATTTATTTTGACCTTGATCCTTGCAGTCCACAGCGACCTTCCCAACCTCCGCCCTTACTGGCCTCACGGCTTTCCCTTTTCCTCATCCTTCCACTTCATGCAACTCAAAATTCCTTGGCCTTTTGCTTGTCCTGTGTTTGTTACCAGCCGTGGGCTGCCGTGGGTGGTGTGTGTGAGCCCGGCCTTGGGCCTGTGCCTGTCACGTGCATCCTCAGTTACGTGGGTGAGCCACTTACGTGACCAGGATGGTCCAGTCTAGAATGATTCAAGGGAAATGTGAGCACATCTTCTTCCATTGTGCGTGGGTCCAAATCCAGGAAGGAAAGGCCTCGTATTCAGGGACTGGGGACGCCATGTACTACGTTCCTGGGGCCAGGGTACAAGGGTGGGGGGCTAGTCACCGCAGCCACAGTACCTGCCACCCCTCCCACAGCCTCGGCACACCAAGGATGCAGCAGACACCGAGAAACGCAGCGTCCGTGATCCCACAGGGTCTGTGCTCTAGCGCAAAATTATGGCATCCAGATGGGACTCGGCTCAGTTCCTGCAGAATTTTATACTCCTACTCTCCCACGTTTATTGTCCAAACATGCAACCAGCTATTAAATATTCACTAGTCTTTAAAAGAAATAAATATTTAAGGCATGGCTTTAAATCTTTTATCAATTCTTTTTACTGTCTGTTAAGAATGCTTTTCAGCATTTCAGCCAACACTGTATTCAATGTCTTTGATTTCCTGGTTCCCAGGGATAGCTGGAAGTCTGTTATCAGAAATGCCCTTTTTCCTAACGGATGATCTCAGGGCTGAGTTTATGTTTTCCAAGCCACTTGCAGGGATGGCAGAAATTTTTATTTTGTTGTCTAGAAACGTGGAACTATCGGTAAGTCCATGGGGCACAAGTGCTCAGGTCTGTGGATCTCTCTGTCCCCTGAGAAGAGGGAGGTGGCCCCGTGGCGCTCCCCAGGTGGGAGCTGTTGCACTTGTGGTGGTGAGGCTGTGTGTGAGCTGGGCCTGCAGGGCTGCCCAGCCAACGGTGAGCCATGGGTCCTGGCTGCCTGGGGACCTGTTTTGAGGCGGGGGCTCATCAGACAACTATGACTAGTAAGTGAAATCTGCGGCAGGCAAGGAAGGGCTACCTGGCATATGCCAAGGAGATTTCTCTTTCCTAGGCAGTGACTCCCTGGGAACGGCTCGGCCTCGTGGCTTCAGTTTGGGTCTCCCTCAGGTAGAAGGATCACTTATTTTATTCTGAATAGGACGCCTTGCATACAACTTCATGATCCAGGGTCCCCCATTCCTGATGAAGTCAAACCAACGTCATCATTCCCAAACGGGGCCACACCCAGCCCGCTGCCATTGGCAGTTAGTCCTCCAGCACACAGAGAATACACACTGTTATTATTAAGTGCTGAAGGTGACATGGTAAATCATACTCAGATGGTCCTAAATTTAGGAACAATTATATGCTGAAGGCAGGGGTCTTGCTTATGCACACACATTTTAAAGGTCCTTTCGTGCATTTTACCCTACCCCTTGGTGTGGTTTTCAATCTAGAATAGATTTCTTGGTGTTTCTCAATTCAGAATAAAATGATTCAAGTACTGTGGGTGTGGGGGTGGGTGTGGACAAGGTCACAGCATATCTCTGGTGGGTCACGGTGAGTAGTTTGAAAATCCCCACTCAGCCCTCGCCCCTTGACAATCACAGCGTCGGGGAGAGGAGGACAGTTCGGTCCTGCTCACTGATGATGTGGCCCAGGCCGTCCATGTCAATGACGTCAGGTGCACGTGCCGCTTTACTCTGACCGTTCAGGTAATCTTTGGAAAACGCGAACTGGAGCAGGGGCCGCGAGCAAGGCCTGCTGCGGGGGCAGGGCCCACGTTAGGAGCGCTGCACGCACGGATGCTGGAGGGGCGGTCGGTCAGCCCCACGGACCCCCGGCTGTCCCGGCACCTCCTCCTGGCCCCGGGATCCTTGTGTCTCCTGACGGGGCCCTAGTTCCCTTCCCGAAAGGAAGCCACTCTCTGCTGGGCAAAAGTTAAGGAAGGAAGATATACAGGGGTGGGCGAACATAGGTGTGCAGTGGTTCATGTGGAAACTGATGCAGTCATTGACAGATAATCAGACAAAAATAAATTGTTCTGTGAACTCATAAGCCTACTTCTGCCCACCCCTGGACCACGGCTGGGACTGTGGTCCGCCCCCAGTTCCTGGGCCCGCGCCGTCCCCCCAGAGCTGCGGCCATTGGTGGGTTTCCCCAGCTGCCTGGAGCGCAGAGCGGTGAGAGTGTTTTCACTGACCAGAGGCTAGGCAGCCCGGTGCCATCTGGGGCTGCCCGTCACCAGAGTCATAAAAGCTGTAACTCTGACCCAGGTAAGGAAGGGAGACTGAAGTCGCAGGGACCCGGGGAGTCCGGTGGCTCCCCAGCAAGCTGGAGGTCAGGACGGGCCCTGGGCAGGAGGGGGGCAGCGTGGGAGGCCCAGCAAGCTCCTGGGTGCGTCTGAGACCTCGTCCTCTGCAGATGCCCTGTGTTTGTGCAAAAATGGTCAGTGATAGATGCTTCTTTAAAGGATGTGGCCAGGCAGCAGGAAAGTGCACTTAAGTAGTCCTGAGGAATGGAAAGGGTCAAAACCTCGTTCTGGAGCAGCCTGGCAGGAACTGGGGGTGACCTCTGCGGTAGGAGAACGCCCCGCCCCGGGCGCCTGTGTAACGGCATGAAATGTGGGTGGGGACGAGGGGGTCTCCGTGCCTCCCCCCGCGCCGTCAGTGCGGACTAAGCGTCAGCAAACGGCACTCTTTTTGCTGACTGTCCACTTGTATTCAGAGTAAAGAGCACACACGTTCTTTTGTAGTGGAATCTTAAAACAACGGACACGTTTCTTTTGTATGTTGTGAATATGATTCTCGTAAGGAACACGGAGCAGCTGGGCCTGGACTTGGGAGAGGCAGGTGGCACCGGCCCCTGACCTGACCACCGCTCTGCTTCTCTCTGCTCCTCTCGTCTCCTCCTCCTTCGGTGCGAGTCTGGCTGGGGCCAGGGTTGTCTCCCGTCACTCTTCCTGCTGGAGGCTCTGGCTTACATGAGCCAGAGGAGGAGCCAGTGCCTGGCGGACCCTTCCCGGCTGCTCGGCCTGTGTTTGGGCTGGGAGTGGGGGGGCGGGCAGTGTGTGGCCCGGACTTGGGGGGGCCCCCCCACAGCACTGGGTACACAGCAGCTGGCGCTCTGAGGCCCCGTGTGCTTCCCCGGGGCTCCTCCTCCACGGGGTTCCTTCCCTTCCTCTGCTCAGGCAGGTCCTTCTCTCTGTTCACCCTTCTCCTGCTCTGAGAGCCCCTCTCTCCCTCCCACGCCCCACAGGGGAGACAGGGCTGCACGTACTCCCTGGCGAGCAGATGGGGCCACGGGGGATCAGGACACTAACTCCCAGGGAGAGAGAGTAGAGGACGTGTTGACGATAATCCTGGGTTGGTCCTGAAATCAGACATGTGAAATAATGTTGTTACCCCTCATCCCCTGAGCAAATGATTGTAAAATGTAGAAACATGGATAGGAGAGATGGGTGATAATGAAACTCGGTTGAGAAAAGATTGTTTTCTTAGAAACTGACCACAGGCGTGCACATTAACTAAACATTTTTACTTGACATCTGGATTTCGGTCTCAGGTACATTCGCACAAACAACCACAGCGATGATGTCTTGTGGCTGCGCATTCACACGCTGGGTGGGCAGCCGCCTTCCCGCTCCTCTCCGTCGCAGCACCGAGGGGGGGTGGGCAGACCGCGGGCCCCTCCCCACGGCACCTGGGTTGCGTGTGGGAGACCGGCTGGGCAGGTTCTCCTTACCTCGTGGTTTATATGGCAACGTGTAAACATATGGTTTGGGAAACGGGACGGGAGAGGGTAAGAAGGTAGATGAGGGTCTCGTCAGGGAGGCGACGTGAACATCTCCCAGGGCCCCGGGTGGTTTACCGCCGTCACCCTGTGCGTTACCTGCCCGATAACCGGCAGTGTCCAGCACCTGGGCGTGGGCAGCGGCGCGGGCAGCGGCGGTTCCCAGTTGAGGACAGGGCCTTGGGGCGGCCGTGGCCGGACCGGGACGGGAACTCAGGCCTTCAGACCCAGGCCCCTCTGCACCCCGTGCTCGTGTCCCCCCACTGGCTGCCACGCTCAAGTCCGGCCATCTGAACAGACGCGCTGTCTGCAGACCAGGAGTGTGTCGGGGTGAGGTGTGTCAGGGACGACTCCACATTCAGGCTTGTGTCCTGTGGACAAGGGTGTCCGTCTGGGCTGTGGCTGTGAGGAGGGCAGGCTGCTCTGTGCGTCTGGTCGCCGCACCCCAGAGTGGCCCTGGGGCATGCCGTGGGGCTTTATGACCTGTCATCTGTCTCTCACGCCATTTCTCTTTTCAGCTAGAGTTTCCAGAACGGCCTGTTCTCAAATTTAACAATGAGGTCACTGAGTCCCATTTTGGGGAGGCACCAAAAAGACGGTGATAAGGCCGAAGGAAAGGGGTGCAGCGTGACTTCTGAGTCCGTGTTACACGGAGGGGTCTGATACTAATAGATGCTCAGAGCGGCCCGTGGCGGTAGGGGCTGCAGGGTGAGCAGGAGGTGGCGTGTGTGGTGGGTACCGGGGTGCCTCCACGAGCCTTCCCAGGTTCAAGTTAAAGCCGTTTTCTAGTGCGAGCGGGATGGTGAATGACGTAAGGATAATCAGTCCTGAACTGGACAGTGAAATGGTCCACATTAGTTTTCCAGCGGAATGTAGTAGAGTTTATTTATTTTCTGAAAAATAATGATTTTCCCCCTCGCTATGAAACTAAGGTCTGCCATTTGTTACCTGAATCATCTGAACATTGACACCTTTAGAACTAGCGGGGTCCCCATGAGGCCTCGATGCCCGCCACCCGAGGAGGCCGCCGTTGGGCGGCAAGGTCAGCCAGAGGTCAGTGTTTGATGGCCATGGTCCAGAGGAGCGGGTGGTCCGTTTCCACAGTCACCACCCCCGATCCGTCGTAGGTGTTGGAGGTGCTCACCAGTGTCCCAAAACTGAGCATGTCATTGGCTGTAAGAAAACGAGAAAAATAATGTTTGGTGAAAGCCAACCTTTCTCTAGTGTGAAATGACTTTGTCAACAGTTACCAACGAGCAATGAAGCATGTGCTTTGATGGAAGATACATAAAATGTGGGATAGGTGAATTAGATGAAGTGGGATCTGGAGCGGAAAGTTTTCTAACTTGCAAGTAGGTAACCACCTTTCCTGGAGTTGGTTGTTGACCATTTGGATATATGCCATTTTCATACAAAATTTCATTAAACTTTTTTCTTTCCTTTTTTTTCTTTACCGACTGTAAAACCCAAATCCATTTCTGTATTGTGCTACTTAATTCCTTGCCTGGTGCGATTTTAATTTTTCCTTGATGATTCAGAACATTTTATATCAGTTATTAAACTCTGTAGCGACACTGTTTTATCTTCAAATATAAATGATATCACACAGGAAACTAATTGCTTCAAGACAGCATAGGATTTTGATTTTTCTCCTCATAACTTAAGAAAAGCAAAGATGGACAAGACTTATTTTCTGTAAAATTAATAGGAACTCAAAGGTCAAAGCAGACTTCCAAATGTGCCTGTACAGACCCTTGAGCTCAGCTACACCAGGAGGGTAAGAGATGAGATAACCGTGGAAACCATGTAATTGTCCCAGTAAAGGCTGACGAGCTAAGGCACGTGGTAAGACTCTGTAAACTCATAATTACGGACGTGCAGATCTTCTTACACAGGTAACGAGATGGCCGCAGTGAGCGCCAGGCACGGAGGGTGCCCTCGCTTGCCTTGCCTTACGGAAGGGCAGTTCGCTTCACCAACATGATGGTCTTATTTCTTTCTTTATTTAGCTAAAATTCAAAGAGAAAATGCACAAATGCTACGGAGCCCACCCGTCAGAGTCGGAAGAGGCCCCTCCCTCCCGAGTGCTAACTGGGGGTCCACCGCGTGGGGGCGGGAACCCGGCAGTACTCTCACTCCCCACCAGAGGGAGCCTGTTCTCTTTCTGCGGAAATCTCTGAAAAGGCCATTTTCAAATTCGGAAATAGTATTATTACAGGATACTGTATAATTAGTACTACCAGTTCATACAGTTTACTCACTGAAACTCAAATCATTTTCATAGCTGTCAACACCTTTACTAACGTAAACTCGAAGTTACAAAGTGGAAGGACACGGGGGTGGGGGGGAAGAGACCCCCACGTGGCGAGCGCGCTAAGCCTGTAGTTGAGTGCGAGCCGCTCTCGCCGCCTCAGCAGCCTGAAGTTTCCAGGTGACGCTAAGGTGCACGCGTGTTACATGTACAAAGCCGGACACTGTTCCATGCCTAGTGGGCTAGGGGGATGCCTGCAGAGAGATTCGCCGCGAAGTCAACTTGGAACCTGCTAGAGGGAGAGGGCTGAGTCTCCCGCCCCCCACGCCCAGGCCTGGGGTTTCCCCGGGAGCCTGCAGGGGAAGGGGGGGGGACCACTCACTCACACAGGCGTGTGCCATTCACACGGGGCGCTGCCGCGGGCGGGCGGCCGGCTTCAGAGTGGAAACTCCTAGGGAAGGGCCGGGCCTGCTCTGCCCACCTGCGTTGGACACGTGCGTCTTCAGGTTTGGAGACGGGTCAGATTAAAACCCCAGCTTTCACCTGGGCTCACAGGAGTGCTGGTTTGAGTCCTGTCTTTTTACCTCGGTTACTCTAGCTAAAGGTTTGTTAATTCTGTTTATCTTTGCAAGGAACCAGCTCTTAGTTTGTGGATCTTTTCTATTGTTTTCTTGTTCTCTGGGTAAACATTTACAACAACTTCTCTTCTGCTGACTGTGGACTTAGCTCGCTCCTCTTTTTTCTAGTTGCACAGGGTAAAGCTGGGCTGGTGAGCTGAGCTCCTTCCCTGTTCTCCGTGTGGGCATTCACAGCTACGAGCCTCCCCTTAGAGCTGCTTTGCCGCGTCCTGTAAGTTTCGGTACGCTGTGTTTCCAACTCCATTGGTCTCAGGACACTTTCTATTTCCCTTTCAATTTCTTCTTTGATCCACTGGTTGCTCAGGAGAATGCTGTTTTATTTCCATAGATTCTTGCATTTCCCAGTTTTTGTTCTGTTATTGATTTCTAGTTTCATACCACTGTGGTCAGAGAAGTGGTTGGTACAGTTCACTTCTCTTGGATTTGCCAAGGCCCGTTCTGTGGCCCTAGCGAACTTATGATCTGTCCTAGAAACTGTTCCACGGGTTGCCTCGGTCACCCGCCAAACTGCAGGCTGAGCTGCACAGTGGTCTGGGTTCCCTGGCCGGGCCTCCTAGATGGACAGGACCGGTCCTGCAGCCACAGCAGGAGGCAGGGCCAGCAAACCCTGCCTGGGCGGTGCACCAGCAGGCTCCGGGGCCAGCCTGGCTCTCTCACTGGGGACTGAGTCAGGCCGGACTGCACACCCAACTCCCTGCCCACATGAAGCCACCAGCTTTGTACTGCAGACGGGGACAGTCACGTGCCTCTGTGAGCAGGGCCCTAGGGCGGGCTGTGTGGCTTCCCACGTGCCTGGTTAGCGTCCCTGGCCGGGCCGGCTGAGGCTGCACTCGGTAGTGGGCAGGGCTACAAAGTCGTTTCCCCCCAGCCCAGATGCGGCAGCTCTGCAGACTCCAAGTCCAGCAAGGCTCTTGTCTGGGGACAAATGAGGTAGAATTGTCACCAAGTGCCCCGGCCACATGGTCACTACACTGGCTCTGTTCTCCAGGGCCACTGTAACTGGGGTACAGGGTGGGCTCTGGAGATCCCAGGGTGGGCTCTGTAGATCCCTGGGTCTGGTTAGGTTTCCTGGTCAGGTGGGGTTGGAGGTCCTATTCAACAGTGGGGGGGGACTATAAATGACCTTCCCTACCTGGCTGGGGCCACAGAACAGGCCCCAGGGCTCACAAGCCTTGGGGACCACAGCCAGCAGAACTGTCCACCGAGCTCCCTGGCTACAGAAGCCCCCGGGCTGGCTTTGCAGAGGGCAGGGTGGCAGGGCCGGGACCTACACGGCGAACAGGTGGGGCTATGAATCAGCAGCCTAACCAGCTCCCAGGCTGGCGTACCGGAAGCACCGCATGCTCCGTACCATCCCCCCTCTCCAAGATGCGCAGCCTGTTTGGAGACAGGGCTGCCCAGTGCAGAAGCAGGCCATTTCAGGAGCAGGAGAGCAGGCATGCTGCCTCTAAAATCAGTGCACTGCCACTGGTCTTTGTAAGTTTTTGCACTCTAGAGTTCAAAAGGAGTTTTCTATGTAAATGTGGGAGGCAAACTTTCTATTTGAAAATGGTTAATTTACACTTTTAAAATAGGAACTGTTGCTCTGGCTGGTGTGGCTCAGTTCATCTGGCATCATCCCATAAACCAAAAGGTTGCAGGTTCGATTCCTAGTTAGGGCACATGCCTGGGTTGTGGGCCAGGTCTCTGGTTGGGGGTGTGTGAGAAGCAACTGATTGATGTTTCTCTTCCTCTCTTTCTTCCTCCTTTCTCTTCTCTCTAAAAATAACGCTGGGTCACATGGCAGTTCTATTTTTAATTCTTTAGGGGCTCTCCATACTGTTTTCCACGGTGGCCGCACTGACCTGTACTCCTGCTGACAGTGCACAGCCTTTTCTCCCCACTCGAGCCAACACTTACACCGTTTCTGGTCTTGCTGACAACAGCCATTCTACCAGGTGTGGGGACACATTGTCTTGATTTGCATTTCCCTGATAGTGATGTTTCACACCTGTTGGCCACCTGCGTGTCTTCTTTGGAAAAATGTCCATTCAGATCCTCTGTCCATTTTTTAACCAAACTGTTTTTTTTTCTTTTCTGCTATTGAGTTGTAGGAGTTCTTTGTATATATTGGATGATGACTTATCTGATCATTTGCAAGTATTTCCTTCCCTTTAGTCAGCTGCCTTTTCATCCTGTTGATGGTTTCCTTTACTCTGAAAGGATTTCAATTGATATAGTCCCACTTATTTATTTTTGTGTTTGCGGCCTTTGCTTTTGTTGTCAAATCAGAAGAATCATTGTCAAGGCTGATGAAAAAGAGACTTCTCCCTACGTTTTCTTGTAGGGGTTTCACAACTTCAGGTCCTATGTTGAAATCTTTAACCTATTTTTCGTTGATTGTTGTGTATGGTGTTCACCTGAGGCCCAGCTTTCCCAGCATGATTTACTACAGAGATGGTCCTTTCTCTGCTGTATATCCTTGGCTCCTTCGTTAAAAACTGACCACAGATGTGTGGGTTTATTTCTGGGCTATTTGTTCTGTTGACCTGCATGTCTTTTTAAAATGCCAGTACCACACTGTTTGATGACGATAGCTTTGTGATATAGTTTGGAATAAGGAAGGGTGATGCCTCCAGCTTTGTTCTTTCTCAAGATTGCTGGGTCTTTTGTGGTTCTATCCATTTCTGTGATACATGCCACCAGAGTTTGATAGACATTTCAATGAATCTGTAGATTGCTTCGTGTAGGATGGACATTTTAACAGTATTAATTCTTCCAATCTATAACTTCAAGTATCTTTCCATTTATTTATGTCGTCTTCAATTTATTTCATCAGTGTCTAATAGTTTTCAGTGTAGAGATCTTTCATCTCCTTGATTAAATTTTTTTCTAAATATTTTTATTTTATGCAACTGTAAATTCTTTCTGATGGTTTGTTATTAATGTGTAGAAATGCAATAGGTATTTGTATATTGACTTTTGTATCCTGCATGTTCACTGAATTCATTTAGTCTAACAGTTTTTTGATGGAGTCTTTAGAGTTTCTTTTTTTATATACACAGGGTGGGCAAAAGTAGGTTTATAGCTGTGAGTACACGAAACACAGTTTAGTCTTGTATTATCATTTATTAATTTGTATTATTTACAACTGTAAGCCTACTTTTGCCCATCCCTGTATAATATTACATCATGTATCTGAAAGTAGTATCAATTTTACTTCTTCCTTCCTGACTTCAATGCCTTTTTTTTTTCCATTTTGCCTAACTGTTCTGACTAGGACTTCTACTACTAAGCTGAATGAC